CAATTTCTACGTTCCTGTGCATTTCTAAGCTTTGTTTTAAATGTGAAACATACACTTACTTACACTTTTTTATTTATATTAAAACGTCAAAAAAATTCATTCAACTCTTTGCATCGTCTATGACAATATTTTAGAGTCAACGATTTGTTATGATTTCAATTTTACACTTTTTTGAATTTTTAATTCGCAAATGTTTCACCTCCCTTTTCGTTATATGTATGTAAGTATGTCTATTTGTAGACATTTTAATGAAGGTTATGCCATTGACCTGAAATGCAAATACGTACGTATGTAGATTGTCATCAATTTGTTTTAGCGCCTCAGCGACGCTGAATTTTTGGTAAAACAACTTCAATATTTATTTGTGTTTCGTTGCAGCGTCGACTTGAGAGTGCAGTAGCTTGATAATAAAAATAAATACATATGATACAAACATAAGCATTATAAAAAAATAAAAATAAAAAGAATGTGCATTTAAAAAAGCATAAGCGCACGGCGGCGCCGTTGCCAACATTTACTATTTAAGCCAACAATTTCGACCTTTCGGTAGATTGCATTCAAAGAAGTTGTCAATTCATTTCCGCACCACGAAAGGTCGCAATTAATTTGACTTCTTAAACAAGATTTAAGATACATAGCTTTCAAATTTTTTTTTTTCGATGACACCGTTGACGTAGATACTGTTTAGATATCTTTAATATCATTATTAGCTAAGTGTTAAGCAAACATGTTGCGCGTACCCGAAATGTTTGCACCAAACACGGCAATACAATTTTGCTTCTTTTGGATACTGATAACGTCCACACGCGTCAAACTATCGAACCAATTGATAAGCGCGATAACAAAGAGCGTCAGCAAAAAGTCTTTCAAAACGTAAACAGAGAGTGTTGCCGACGTACCGAGCATTTTGGAGTGGAGTAGCGCTCTGACATATTGAGCTCTGTGAGCGGCGTTAGCAAGTGTGTGAGTGTATGAGTGTGCAGGCTGTAAATTCGAATTGCGACTTCACTCAAAAGCGCTTAACGCTCTTCAAAAAAACACTCAAACATGTTGCGCTCAATTGTGCACCGAACACACTCAAACGCCTTAGAAATATTCTGAGCGCGGAATGCCGGCTTCAAAAAGCGCTTATCAGCTACAATGGTAGGTAATATAAAATGCTTTTTCGGGCGCGCGCATGCTGTTTTCAGAGCAGCATTTAAAGCTCAGCTTAGCGATCAAACCAGTAAACTGTTTGAGTGTCCAGTTGATTTACATATGGTCAGAGTTGAGCGCTGCGGATTGCGCTTTAGCCAACTTAAATTGTTGTTCATTGCGAGTGGTCAGCTTTTCTGTCTGAGATGTGGTGCTTAGTTAGCCATCTGAGTTACCGCGTATGCAGCTCGATATTTGCTCGCTGCACTTACGCGCTGTGTGTGGCTGTGTGGCGAGCGCTGCAGCGGTGGCGGCGGCGGCGGCGGCGGCAACGATGGCATTTGTTGTATCCGGCTCGGGTTTCAGCTGCTCGATCGTATCATTTCGCAGCGGTGCGCTTCACACACTTCGTTTGGCTTTGCTTTGCTTTAGTTTGGCTAGCGCTTCGGCAAGAATGATTTTTGACTGGCTCAAACGCTTAACACGATCGTAGAGCGTACAGCGTCGCGTCGTCGATCACTCGTTAGTTCGAGAAGTCGGCTGTGAGCTCTGACGGTTATAAAAGTAGCAAGGACATACGTATGGGCCATTAGTCGAAATCTATTAACGCACAACGCGAAGTCGTCTTAACACGGGCGTTGGCGAGAGTTGGGAAAAATATTAAGAAATTAATTAATTAATACAAAGTAATAAGAAAATTATTTAAGCGCGCTTTACCGGCAAGTTAATATTATATTAAAGCGCATGTAAAATAAAAGTTTGATAATTATTAAAAAATATATATATTTAATGCTCTTTTAAGAGAAAAGACTATATACGCATAAAAACAATTATTTGAGTGTGAAAGTTGTCTACCACAATAAAAAAAAAGTTTCTGAAAAAGTTTCAATCTAAACAAAAAGTGCAGTTGGAAAACTAAAAACTAAATTGACTGTTACACCAAACAACTCCCTACTGAAAAAACTAACAAAATAAATTGGCGAAAATGATTGCAGGATCATATTTTATAAAATTGCTAACGCGACAATGCACAACCAATGATCTGCAGCACCTGTTGCTCGTCTTTTTCACGGTGCTCACGTTGATTAGCTTCCTGCAGTGGCTGCTAAACGCCTATCGCGAGCTGCGCAAGCTGCCGCCGGGGCCGTGGGGCTTCCCCATTATCGGCTATTTATTTTTTATGGGCAACGAGAAGCACACACGCTTCATGGAATTGGCCAAGCAATATGGTTCGCTCTTCTCGACACGCCTGGGCAATCAATTGACTGTAGTGATGAGTGATTACAAAATGATACGTGAATGTTTTAGACGCGAGGAGTTCACCGGCAGACCGGATACGCCATTCATGCAAACGCTTAACGGTTTTGGTGAGTAGACAATTGTTACAAAAAATATATAAAAAATAAAAATAAAAATTACTTGCGCTGATATAGCAAGGTTTCTAGCAAGAAAGTGAATAATGTGTCAAAGAGTAGGAGACGTGTTTAGTGAGAAGTTGTAAGTAAATTTTTTTATTTTTTTTAAGTTTATTAAATATTTCGAAAATGTTACACAACTTTAAATATTATCAAAATATTAAAAAATGCAAAATCTCTAAAATACCCAAAATGAAATAAAAAAAATAAGATCGTCTATTTAAGTTTTGCTAATTAGAATTGAAGCATGTAAAATTTAATTTCATTAATTTTTGAAAAAAGTAAAAAAGCGTGGAAAGTAGGTATGGAATTGGAACTTTTTTAATTACTGCCAGGACACAAAATTTATTTTTACAAAATTACCATTTTGTTATTTTTTTAATACAAAATTTTATTTTTATTTTTTCGGTATGCAAATAAAAAGTTTAACAGCAGATGAAATGGTGAAAACCAGTCTTTGGCAGCGTTGATATATATTTTTTTTTTGAAATATCTGGAAATTATTGCTTACTGGTGTTTTTACAAGTGAAAAATTATGTATCCCTTCTGTCAGTTTTCATATTAAATTCAAATAAAAATAATAATTTTTCACTGAATAGCTTTCGTGAAAATGGCTTTTAAAGAAACCAGAAAAAATATTCCAAAATTGATTTTATTGTTATTTTTTTTTAAGGTGAGTATGTTGCTTAATCAAACTTTCAATTCAATAAATGCCAAAATTTTGTTCACTGCAATTATTTTTATGCGCAATTAACTCGGAATTACTTTTTGAAATTCGATCAAATGTCGCTCGAATTACATTACCACGAGACCTTTAAATGTTCAAAAACAATAAAAAATTGTGCACCCAAAACCCTGTTAAGAATGAATCGAACCAAAAAAAAAAAACAAACTAAACAGCTAACAAAAAAATATGCAAACACAAAGTTTACAGAAAATCCAAATGCTATAAAAAATCGCGTATTCAGTGAGAAAAATAAACATATAAAAAAGGAGTTTGGAACAAACAACAAACAAAAATGTAAACAAAATTTTTGCAAAAAAAAAATATATAAAAATAAATTTTTAAAAGAAAAGAATAACAGCAAAATTCACACCTTTTGAAATAAATACGTATGCACATATGTATGTATATATGTAGGTACATATGTATGGGCGTAAGCTGATATGGAAATCGAAAGCATAAACAAGTGATAAACAAGCAAGAACAATACGAATTGTGAGAGCCGAAAGCAAAAAAAAAATGCAAAGTAGCATGAAAAATGAGCCAATGAAAACAGCAGTTTATGTTTTGAATTGCGGTTTTTAGTTATATATTTTTTTTTTCTAACTTACTCGCGAGATGATTTTAGTTTTTTTTTTTTTAATTCGCTAAGAAATATTTTTCTCGCTTTGCGACGATTACGTTGCAAAGAGCATTGAAATATTTTTTCGGGCGTTAAAGTAACTTAACGTTGGTTGGTTGGTGGCAGCGTCGCCAGAGCATGCCCAGGACCCAATTAGTGCTGATAGTACTATTTTATGTATTTACTAAGCACCGCGTTTCTTCCGCTTTACATTGTTGCTGCATATGTGCAAGCTGGCGCTGGCGCTGGTGTATTTTGATTTCCTTTCGAATCGCTTATTTCGCAGTTTAAAGCAAAGGTGCTCAGACTTCATCAAACCAGCAGCGTTATTTCTTATCATTGTTCATGCAACTTCGAAATTTCAGCACTTGCTAAACATGCAGATTTATGTACCTACATCGATTTTAATTTTTATTAAATTTTTTATTGCTCTTTTCACACTTTTATTTCACTCGCAAATTTGTCTTATCGCGGCGTGCGCGCTCGCTTAAATTTCCTTTGGTTTCTGTAATTTCTGCGCTTGTAATTAGCAAGCAGGGCGTGCGTGCGTGCATCACAAAGTAGGACAGCTGGCAGTCACACGGCAGCGCCTTCACCCTTTGCAACTGGCAATTTACACTTACTGCGAAGTATGTAGTTCCGTTTCACCATTTGCTGCCTTTGCCTCAGTCATAAGCTTAATGCTGATTTTTTTTTCACTTCTCGCGCGCCTTAAGACTACCTCAATTGCGGCAAAAATTCGTGAAAAGATTTTGGTGTGTGTGTGTGTGCGTGTTTTTTTGTTTTTGTTTGAATAAGCCGCAGCGCATTATTTGGCCATACCGAGCGATAAAAAAAAAATACCAAAAATTGGTAGGCACTTCAAAATGTTTAAAGTTTTTTCTTCTTCTTGTTCGCGCCCTTTTTGTTTTGGTATTATTTTTTGGTGTAATTTGTTTGTCAACAAATTGTTATTGTTGTATAATGCACTTAAATTACGAAAAATTCCGTTGAGAAGTGTAAAAAATTCCATTTTCTCTCCGATAAATATGTTTTTTTTTTGCTTGAAGTTTAATTGAAATTTCACCGCCACAAAGCAAAGGAGGCTGGTTAGTGTTTCGTTTAATTGCGCTTTTATGGTAACAGTTTAAAAAGGCAAAACAAAAAGTTAAAAATTTGGGTTTTGTAGGGAATACTTTCAAAATCTCCATTTTTGAGATAATAAAGTTTCACTCTTAAAAGTAAATTTACCATCTTTTACAAACAATTTTTTAACCAATTTAGTTTTTGTGGTCTTCTCTCCTTACAGGAATCATCAATAGCACCGGTAAACTGTGGAAGGATCAGCGTCGCTTTTTGCACGAAAAACTACGCCAATTCGGCATGACTTATATGGGAAATGGAAAGCATGTTATGGAGAAGCGTATTATGGTAAGTGTCTATTTAAAAAAAAAAAACTATCATTAACTGGTTTCAACAGCAATTTAAGTGTAAAATTATTTTTTTCCTTCTGTAAGTTTAAAATTATTTTTTTCCTTAAGTGTAAAATTTTTTTTGCCTTCTGTCATAATAAATTCAAACAAAAAATTTTTTTCAGAAAAATTGCTTTCGTGAAACTGGCTATGAATATATTATATTACACATGTCAAGCCCAACAAATAATTTCACTTAGAAAACGTTTTCACAAATAAGTGGTACAAGTAAACAAAATTTCTAAAACTTGAGTTCCAAAAGTTCCACATATGTTCCGCCTGCTAGTAGTATATATTTTTCATGCTCAAATTAGTCGAGAATTCAAACAGACGCCACATTTTAACATTTTAAAATGCGATCCACTTACCATCCACAGAAGCTTCACAATTTCAACGCTACTCTAAACATTTGCTCTTCCGAGGTTTACTTTTTTTATACGTGTCAAACACATCAAACCTTTCAAATGTCAAAAACATAATGTCGGTTAAAAAGAAATTACGGAAATAAATCTGAATACTCTGGATTTGCCTTTTTCATCAAAATAAATATTTTTTTTAACAAAAAATTATTTTAAAATTTGCGCTGCAACAATTTATACAAGCTTTCCAAATATGAATAATATTAAATTTTCTTACTCAAAACTAGCTTGAAATTTAAAAAGCTCCACACTTCATCATTCCATAACAATCCACAAACGTTCCACAAACTAAACATTTACCCAAGCAAGTTTTTCTAATTTTCCATATATCAAGCACCCTTAAGTAAGTTCGAAACAACATCCACACGTGAAATGAACCGCTTTTGCCGCTCTTTTCATCAAAATTTAAGTTTTTTTAGAAAAAAATTTCGTTCAAAATTCCCGTTACTTGTTTGATACTCAAAACTGACTTGAGATTAAATTGACTCCACTTTTCATATTTTTCAAATGCGATCCACTCACATACCACACACGCTCCACATTTTCTACATTAACTACTTCTAACATTCGCTCTGCCAGATTTTTATAATTTTGATTCTTTCACTTTCAATTTTCGCCCATCAACAGACCGAGGTGCACGAATACATTCACAACTTACGCGTCTCCGAAGGTCAGCCTATGGATATGGCGCCCGCCATCAGTGTAGCCGTTAGCAATGTCATTTGCAATATTATGATGTCCGTACGTTTCTCCATTGATGATCCGAAATTCCGTCGTTTCAATTTCCTCATCGAAGAGGGTATGCGTTTGTTTGGTGAAATACATACAGTCGACTACATACCCACCGTACAGTATTTCCCATCAATTTTAACTGCCAAAACGAAAATCGCTAAAAATCGCGAAGAGATGCAGAAATTCTATCGCGATGTCATCGATGACCACAAAAAGAGCTTTGATCCAGCGAATATAAGGGATTTAGTTGATTTCTATTTGGTTGAAATTGAGAAGGCGAAGGCGGAGGGACGTGATGAAGAGCTGTTCGATGGCAAAAATCATGGTGAGTAGTATAGATGAAAAAATCAAAGTAACTTGAAAAAAGGAATTTGAAGAGTTCCTGTCACACAACCCACCACCTAAATACATACATACATACAATTTGCTTGCATTTCTAATCAAATCATTTGCTTTTTTGTCTCTTCCTCTACTTTCCACCAGACGAACAAATCGTTCAAGTCGTCATCGATCTCTTCTCCGCCGGCATGGAAACGATCAAAACCACTTTGCTCTGGATTAATGTATTCATGCTGCGCAATCCCGAAGCGATGAGATGCGTACAAGAGGAGCTCGATCAGGTTGTCGGTCGTCATCGGTTGCCCTCCATTGAGGATTTGCAATTTTTGCCAGTGACCGAATCGACAATTTTGGAGTCGATGCGCCGCTCGTCCATTGTGCCGCTCGCGACTACACACTCGCCCACAAGGTAGGTTTACGCTCGCTCCCCATAAGCGATGATAAAACATGTTGCTATAATAAATGCTTATTTAAAAGAAAAACTACGAGTAAAAACATTGTTCAGATATATCTAGTTATGTGCATATACATACATATGTATGTATGCATGTGCGTAAGCGCAACAAGTTGTCAAGTGATATATGGTGGTTAGTTGGTTAGCGGCATTGTTGTTGCTGTTGTTATTTGACATTGCAGACCAAACGAGCGCAAATAACGCACATACGCGCATTTATGCGGTTTTGTTAGCGTATGTTTGTTTGTATATATGTATGTATGTATTTAATCGAAGCGTGTAAAATTTGTAATTGCCAAGTGGTTGAGCTACTATCGCAGCTTTGTTGCCGTTTTATTATACGTATTTACGGTAATGACCGGTTGTGCTGCCTACTTACGATTGCTGTTCTTCTTGTTGTTGTTGTTGTTGCTATCATTGTAGCATATTATTTTGCTGGCGGAAAATTGCGCGCACCGTCGCGTCCATTTTTCATTCATTCCAATTCATTCATTCATAAAAGCGTAAAAATGGGCAACCACAGCAATAAACAAATAAACAATTGTTCAGCGACACATACAAATTAATACGCTCACAAATAAGGTCGCACATATGTGTGGGTATGTATATCTGTGTTCGTATGGAATAGCAGCTTATGCCGAAAGGCTGGCTTTAGTATAATGCGGCACTCGTAGCATACGATTGCGAATGACCCACTGGCGCCGAGCCGTTGAAGAAGTCCTATATTCTTATTAAGTCTTATCAAAAAATTCCTTGTAGTTTACAGAAGAAAGAGAATGCCGCATTATACTAAAGCCAGCTTCTCGACATAAGCTACTGTTCCATACGAACACAGATATGTACTAGGTCCGCAGAAATGAACTCCAATCACAATAAAAAGCAGTGAAAACATAGTATCGTATTTCATTCATAAAACGATGGGTAGCAATTGACAATTGACTTGTCGAGAGTGGGAAAAATTTTGAAAAATTCGGTATATCAATTAGCATTAGTTCCCTACTTTCAACATATGTATTTGATTTTGATTAATTTCTTATACAACATGCGTAACTTAGAATTCTTTTAATAGTTTACATTAGCAACGCGTTCATCTATCTAAAATTCTCGCCACCAATTTTTATTCATTTTTTTTTTGTCTAATGCCTCGCCGCATAAACATCAGCGCGCGAGTGCAATGCCCGAAGTAAGCTATCTACGCATTTTTCATTGTTACACACACGGCAATCAAGCGTCAAACGTGCACATCAAAGCATTTGCGAGCATGCAAGCCGCGCGCACGGACACACACCCCCAAACAAGCAGCTGTCAATGAGTGCATCCTTTTCTACAAAGTGCTTGACACTTGCGTGCGTCAATATACATACATACATATGTACATTCGTATGTAATATACACCGCAATCGACGCGCCAAATGCAATGCAATCAAACCCCCTTTACATACACATACATAAATTATGATTGGGCCAGCGGGCGGAAGAGCGCGCGCACTCCACGCACACGTACTGCTACGCGATGCGTAGTTTGGCCCAGTTTCGCACGGCGCATTGCTGATTAAAAATCGCGCGCGCGCCACACCGATATATTGCTGTCATTGGCGGCAGCGACAATTGCGAACGAAGCATAGTGCAAATAGCGCGACAACGCTAACAGCTGCTGCAGCCATTCGGCACTCCACTGCCACTTGATCACGCACTTGCCCGCGTTCGAGGCTGAAAGCGGCGCGGTAAGCGAGCCAGCTGCTGGAAACTTGCCATTTACTACATGCTTCATATTATTTAAATACTTGATAAAGTATATTTATAATAAAATTTGAATAAAAATGTATATATAAATATGAATGTATACGTAGTACATATGTATATGCAATCAAAAAAATGCATGTTTACGTCAGAGTTAACGGCAACGCAGCCACCACCAGAGGGGCACAACTTGCACCTGATAAGCGCGTACCAAGAGTGTGTGGCAATCAAAAAGTCAGAAATTGCGCAGCATCACTGAACACACATACTCATGCACATATGGGTACAAACATCCCTGCAGGGAAAACCCCAAACTAGTGAATCAAATTTTCAGTTTAGTACTAGTCCTTTATCGCCTCAAACGAACCAGTCTGATTTTAATTAGATCCACACCAGTCGAAAAAAGTAATGAGCCTACTTTTGCTAAAAATTATGAAAGAAGTAGGACAAATTCAAAATGCATCATTTTCTAAAATTTCGTACTACCTATGTATATATGTATTTTCTTTCTAAGCTTTTCCATTAAGTGATACGCAAATTTGCTAAGTTCCCGTAGTCGTAGGACATGGCAGGGTAAAATTCGCCAGTTATGGTTCTAAATTCACCAAAAACCCAGCCAGTTCGGCACTAGTGCGTTTTCCTACAGCGCATGCTTTTGCATTGTGTGTTTGTGTGAAGGTGTGCGTGCCTTTGCGTACATTCGCATGTAGTATTTTATGATCTTCACTTGCTGTCTCGGGCGGGCATTTGCTGCAGTTTTCAATAGAAATGCATTCAAAGCTTCTACGAAACGCAGTTTATTTATATACCATTTATTTTATTTTTAAATAAAAAAAAAACAACTAAATTCACATGAAATGCGCAAATGTGTAGGTACAAAGCGTTGCGTTTTGTGTGCGATCAGCAAAATTTGATTTAATCAACAATTACATATGCTTAAAGCTTTAGAGACATACACATATACATATGTATGCATGTATGTATGTAAGTATGTACTTCTCCCAACGACTTCCTAACGACCTGCTTTAATAACCTTCAGTGCAACGACAACGCCTCTTAACGCCCAACTAACATCTACATACTTACTTACAAAATAATATTTAACTAATCTTTCAGCCCAACTAATCAATTAATTTTTCTCTCTTTTCTTTCATTTTCCAGAGATGTCGAAGTGAATGGTTACAAAATCCCTGCCGGTTCGCACGTCATTCCACTCATAAACAGCGTACACATGGATCCCAATCTCTGGGAGAAGCCCGAAGAATTCAATCCACGTCGCTTCCTAGACGCCGAAGGTAAGGTGCGCAAACCCGAGTATTTCATCCCGTTCGGCGTGGGACGTCGCATGTGCCTTGGCGATGTGTTGGCACGCATGGAGCTCTTCCTCTTCTTCTCCTCATTTATGCATTGCTTCCATATAACGTTGCCCGAAGGTCAACCGCTGCCCAGCTTGAAGGGTAATGTGGGCGCCACCATTACACCCGAGACATTCAAGGTGTGCCTAACGCCACGACCGCTGATACTGAATACACACACTGTGGAACCACATCATATGCGCAATGTAGGCGCAAATTAAGTGGCCATAAGAATCACCGAGCGGAAAGAGAGCGCCTGCGGTTGTGGGAGTGAGAAGGTGATATACAATGGTGCATAGCTGGTGCGCGTGTTACCATGATGGCGCGCATTGCTGCTAATGTGCGAGCACGAAAGTGAAAAAGAGAGAGAGAGAGAGATGGAGAGATAGAGAGAGAGCGGTAACGTATGTACGCGCATAATGTTATGAACAAGCGTTTAGCAAGAGAGCTGTTTAAACAAAGCATACGCGAGTGCATGCGAGGCGCATGCGTTGAAATGCGTTTCCAGGGCACGGTTTTGTTCCTAATTGACGACAGTCGATAAAACCAACAAACTTTTTAAAATACAATAACAACAAATAAGCTAAGCGATGCAGTAAACTGTAATTTGACAGTAGTTAGGTATCTTGGCAGAGAGCGAGCAGCACAACGAAGTAGGAAGTTTAGATGTTTTTCAAGCTTTATACAAGAGAGAGAGAGAGCGACAGAGAGAGTAGAGGGACAAAGCGGATAAAAATACAACGTTGTATAGTTTTCTTGAATACATTCAAACTTTATAGTATTTTTATTTAAATATTTAATGCTACTTAAGTGGCACTTAAGTGACAGTTAAGTAATTTTAATCATTTGTATTACCACTTAGAGTGCTTATAAGCTAAAAAAGCGCATAGAACTTAACGCGCATTGGTACAGTCAAAAGTTTGGCAAAAGCTTAGTTAATTGCTGCTGTTTAGGTTAAGCACTCACTTAAGCTGCTGCCAAACAGACGTAGGTAAGCGCCAATATATACATACGTATGCATATCTTTATTTATGTATGCATTTAAGCCGCAAGCCAGCCAAGTAATCAACCAATAAATTTTTGTCAACATGTTCTATTCTAGCACCCCCAAGAAGCTGTGTTCAGTAAATTTATGCATTTATATTTTGTATAAATAAATTATTTGTTAGTGTGTATCTTGCACACATACATACACACATTTGTAAGTAGATTTGTGTAAGATTCATAGGTAATTAATTTAAGTCAACTGTGGTTTAGTTTTATACTCCATCTATGTAGAATATTTTATGTATGTATAGAAACTAGTTAAGAATTACTTAGAAGCTTACGTTGGAGGGCGAAATAGAAAATATGATAGGAAAATCGTGAACAAACTAAAAAATATTAAAAAAACTAAAAATTATTAAAAGAAAAAATGCACATCAATTAAAAATCTTCAAAATCAAATTTTACAATTTACAAAAGTTGTATTCAATTGTCATTTTTCAGTAGATTTCACGAGCCAATTTGTAATTAGCTACATACAACGAAGTTTACAAAATACTCATTTCAGAATTAATGCAGATATTTATGCGCCTAACTAAGTTTTTAAATATGTACATCCCACTAGGAAAATTAAGACTACTTCTACTTGGATATGAAACGGTAACATTCCTTATCACTCCTCGCGCGAACACCGAAGCAGTTGAAAAATTTACGCCGCTTCCTTCTCGCTTTTAGCAGAAGTCGTGAGTAAAGTTTTCGTTTGAAAATATAGTAAAAAACATTCCTTAACGCTACTCGTGGAAACTCTGCATACATTCCAAAAGGTGTTCTCTGAAATATTTCCATATGCATTCCAATGCTCGCATTTCCTAAAGGGATGTACATATTCTACCCACAATGAAATTTCATTGGAAGTGTGTAAAGTTATAGATGCAAGATTTCAATGTATTCATATTTTTATTAACTTGTATGTCTATCAGTTAGTAAATATCTTGTTTTTGTTACATTTTTACTCATTTAATCATTTGTAGATACCATTTTACCTACATAGGCATGATTTTTATAATGTTTTGTAGAAAAAATCTAACTTTTATGTACTATGTATTTATATAAGTTAAAAAAAAAACACACACAAAAAAAATAAAATAACTCATACATCAATATTATGAAAAGAATTTACATAGAGACTACATTAAAGAAAAATTAAAAATCTTATTTAAATTGTTTTTGATTTGATATCCTTCTTCACTGTGACATCTTTGTACATTCTAACGTCGTCGCTGGCTAGAAACGTCTTCGGTTTTCGCACAGGCTTTGCAGTTATTTCGTAGTAGAATGGCACCAATGTCATGCCAGTCTCACCGCGATAGCTATTATCTTCATATTCGAGCTTCAGTCGTATGTGGAAGTTGCGTATTATGTGCGCAGCAAAGAGGTAGAGCATCATGCGTGCCAAATCCTCGCCGGGGCAAATGCGCTTACCTGTTGGAAAAGAGAATGAAGGAGAAAACAATTTTTAATGAAGAAGCTTCTTAAATAATTTAAGACCACCCTACCGGAAGAGACTGGGTAAATACTCCATATTTTACAGGAAGCTTTTCCCAGGTGTATTGGGTAAAATTCATAGAGAATGTATTAACATCAAGGTGAGAATTTTAGGGTTTTCTACTGTATATTTTTGTGTACGTGTGAGTGAGTTTTTGTACTATTCTAACTCAACTAACTAAAAATACACTATTAGTTCAACAAATGGTGTTTTTATGAATAAAAATTGTTTCTTAAAGCTCAAATGAAAAAATGGTTCAAACTTAAAAAAATTGCATAAATTTTTTTTTTTTAATTTAAAAAATTTTGAATGGAATCGTAATAATGAAATTTTTGATGCTGTTTTTTTATTTTTTTTTTCAAAGATTGGTATACGAAAAAATTTAATAACTGAGCCTAAACTCTTCCGATTTAGACTTGTGAGGTATCATTGGAAAGGTATTTTCTAAGCCTTTTTTCCTTTTTCTTTGCTAATAAACTCATTCAAAGGATGAAAGACAAAGGTAGGGTGAACGAACGTCACTCAAAGTTGAATTAAATTGTGTTGGTATTTGAAAAAAAAAATTGGACGCGAATGACCTTTTTTTGACAGAAATAAAAATAGTGAGTAAATGCCTAAGTCTAAAACAGAATATTTTTGGCCCAATTGACAGTGAAATAAAAAAGACATTCGGGCCAACACAACGGCATTTTAGGTTAGGAAAACAGTAAGAGCAGTGCTCTCCGAAGGCTTCATACCTTGCATGAACAAAGCAAAATTTTATTTTAACAGATTACTACAATTAAAATTTTTGTATCTGCACAATCAGTGTTATTGGAGATATAGCTTATACATCACCGATCTCAGTAGAGTTTTGTATGATTACTTAGAAAGTAGCTCACGAAATTTCACGATTTTAACTGTCCAATTAAAGGAGTTTTAAAGTTAACCCCCGATTTTTTTATTTTCACTGTAAGCTCTCTGTTAATAATAAGTGAAAATAGTGCGAAATTTCACATTTCTAGCTGCATAAATGGAGGAGTTATAACGAGAAATCACATATCTGAATAATCAGTCGTATGGGAGCTATATGTTGTTATCATATAAGTATACTACATTTTCATGCGTATATCTCTTCTTATACTGGCTTAAAAAAACCTGATGTGGAGAGTAATTCTTAGTTCGCATTTGGATTCAGCGAGCATTAATCTACTACAATTGGCTAGCCATATCCAATGTGCAACTGTCAAGTTGGGCTGTGTTATATTACAAATATATTTCACTTTCCGCTTACCTGTTTGGAATGGTATGAAGTCCGGTGGCTGTTGATAATGACCATCGTCATCCAAAAATCTCTCGGGCCAATAGAGTTCGGGTTCAATCCATTTCAACCGACTCATATGTGCGGCCCATTGTAGAGGGATGATCATACAATTTTTCGGTATCAAATATCCCTCCAGATTAAAATCTTTTACGGCACCATGCGGTATTCCCAAAGGCACAACAGATCGTATGCGTTGCACCTCAGATATGTATGCCCGTAATAAGTCACACTTTTCCAGGTGATCCAAATCAAACTCGCTGTCAGGTATTTTCGAGAGTTCCTACAACAACAAACAAAAAATAAAGTGAATTATTTAATCACTATGAAATATTTCGTAGCACAAGCACCGCTCGCAGCTGCTCTTGCAGCTCTTGGTATTTGCTTATGTAGAAGAGAAACCAGCGCAGTGTGGCAAGCGTGGTGTCTAGCCCAGCACCGAACAAATCAGCCAGCAGATGCAGCAATTGATCTTGCGTGTAGTACTCATCAGTTGATAGACGCTCTTGCGGATCATCGGATAGTTCACGTCGCATGCGCTCATCAATATAATGATCGAGTATATTAAAACTTTCCTCAGTCACAGATTTTCGATATTCCCAAGACTTTTCACGTTTCTCTACGATTTTGTTATAAATTTCGTGTGTACGCGCTTTGCCGTCGAGCAAGAAACGAATGGCGCTCAGATTCCAGGGCAAAAATCTGTAAAAAAAAAAATGGTTAGAAAATAATATAATCATGCAATATATACTAAAATGGTGGGCGCTACCTCAGCCAAGGCAAAAAGTTCACCGCACCCGAAACGCCAATCAACTTGAGTCCCTTCTCCTGCAACTGCTGCAGATAATTCCAGGTGACGTCATCGGGTGCGTATTTCACACCAAATACCAAGTCATTGATGACGTTGCCCAACGTATGCTGCAGCACGGGATGTGGATCGAAAGGCAAAGGTTTCTTGGAATCACTGCAAAAGGACTGCGAAACAAATGAAAAAGATTAAAATCAAATTAGCAAACACATTCACTTTCATTTTGTTTTGCATTTTGCTGCCATTTTTACTCTCGTTTAAGCAATTTTTTTAATCAATTTTAAGCATTAAGTAAATTATCCAATACGGATGGCTGCGTTACTGAGTCATGCCGTGTCGTTCTACCAGCTTCTATAGATACATATTTACGCACACTTGTATGAATGAATTAGCTACCTTCAGACATTCCATGACGCCACTTTTTATTCTCTGCTCCATTGATTTACGCGCATTGCATTGTTTTTTTGTCATACCCAAGTCTTTCAGCCAGTCAACGACGTGCTTACGCTGATTGCGCCACAGCGCTCCTTCAGAGCAGATCAGACCTGCAAGAAAGCAACACAACAACAAAAACAGCACAAAATATACAAAAAAATGTATCAAAAAAGGGATATTCAAGAAATCGAAAGTTACCGTTGCGCTGAAAACATAAATATAAATGCTAAACAGTTGGCGAGAGAGACAAAAAAAATAAATAAAAAATAAATAAATGAATAAAAAATTAAACATTTTTTGTTCACACACATCGCAACTGGAAAAAAGTTCGCTGCTTAAGTCTTTTGTTTTGTTCGCACACGCAGTAAATGCTGTGCAGTGAGTGAGTGGCATATTTACACACACTTTTACTTGCACTTACCGAAACCGCCCATTATGCCGTGCGTTACATAGAGTGGCGCACGCGCGGTCAATTCTTCACATTTCAGAAATTCACGCACCGACTTCGCATCGGCCAACACCACCGCATTCACATTGCCCAGCCGCAGCGAATAGATTGGTCCATAGCTTTTGGCTAGCTCTGTCAGTGTCTTGTGCGGCTCGCGCCTATCGAGGAAGGGCAAATAGCCAAGTATGGGTAGACCCCAGGGGCCGGGCGGGTATTTTCGCGCTCGCCACGTGCGTCGCACTTCACTTATGATGACTAAGAGCAGCACGAAGCCCAAGAACCATTGATACTGGAAATAAAGCAGTAAAGAAATTAAATTCAATTATCGTTGGCAGGATTTTAAATGAGACAAATATGTATGCTTCACAAGAAATTGCAGAGGGACAGGCTTACATTGCAATGGTTTGCATTCCAAAGGAGTGACTCAGTTTTTGTACATTTATTTCTACACTTTTCTAGGAAGCTCAGTACATATGTATGTATGTATTCTGAAAAGCTTTCATACCAAGAAATATTTCTCCATGGCATATTGGCTATTACATCAAAGAAAGTTTATATGATCCCAATGTTATTCGTTAAGAAAAATTTTGTATGTACGTATGTATGTATGTATGTATTTGAATGTATACAAAATGAAAGCAAAATAAATCAAAGTCCGCTTTTCACGTAGTTACATCCACGACTGCTGCAGCTGTGCTTAGAGGGTACATGTTCATCTATATATTATTCCTTATACGAGGAATTCTGGACGATCTTAAGCAGCTACAGTTATATGTATATCAAATTAAATGTTAGCTCCGCAGGAACTTAAATAACAAATTTATAGGAAATATTCAAATTTTAGTGTCAAACCAAAAATAAATCTTTACTTTGTACCAGGTAGCCAACTCATTTTTGTTATTAATTTGATGATTTTTTTTTATAAAAATATAGTTAATTCTAAAAAAAAAAAGTATAAATTCAAGTTTCAAATTTGTGTAATTTAAAAAAAAAATCTACAAACTTTCGTAAAAATTTCGAGCTTTTTTATTAGATTTTCTAGGAAGATTTTGAATATGCAATTTTGTAGCCCACTCAATTTTTGTAAGTGCAAGTTTCAAGTGGCTAAGAATTTTCGTTTTAAATTTTTTTCCGAAAGTGTTGCGGTTTTCCTCCACATAAAAAAAGTGTTTATTCGTTATATTTATGAACACAAATGCGACAAAGAAAATTCTAAATAAACGGTAATGCAGGATTGCATAATCAGTACTTTTAGTTGTAGTTGCATTTCTTATGCGACTTTTCTACCTCATTATGGCATCAATGAAGCAAAAAATAAATAAATTACTAAACACCTAATTGCTAACAAAGAGCAGTTCATCAGCACGTAAACTGAAATTCCCCACAAAAAGGGGTCCGTTCCCTGATTACCCACGCAAAATAGAATATAAAATAAATAACTCTGAGGTGCTTTAATAGGATTGCCAGCTATTTAAAAATTTAAATTTTAATTATCAAATGAGTTAAATTTTTTATTAGTAGATGGCTATCCAGCGAAGTGGGTTTGAAAAGGCTTTATTTCCAAATTATACATGCGTAAGGGGTTGCCACACGTTTAAAAGTCGAATTCTGATTAATTTACCATTTAGTTGAAATATGTATCACGACCAGTGTTGCCACTTGAGTTTATTTTTAGGTACCAAAACGCCTACCAAATCAGTTTCCAAACTACCAAATCTTTGTTCATTATTAAAACGGGATTTCTTGGATGTACAGGGTTTTTAGCTACACGAATTGTTTACAGTGTTGGTTAACCATTCATGCTTCGGGCTTTTAAATCAAAGAATTAACGTATTGCGTAAAAAAATCTTTGTACAAATGTGATTACCTTTGAGGTAAATTGAATTCATATCAAACATTTTTAATGTTAAAAAAAACAAAATCAGACATTTTATGCATTTCAATAAAACAAAATTCCAAATCTTGTTTCAATTTGCATACTCTCCCCATTTTTCTACCAATAAACTCACACTTTGCAAATTGCCTATCACCAATTTTTCTTTCAAGACGATAGGCAATTTTTCGTTCAATTTCAACAGATGATCGATCATAGCTTTGGGAAGTGAGTTTTTGTTTCTAGAAAATTATGTGCTTAGTAAAATTTAGAAAAAACAAAAAAAAACTTTTACGTGTGAGCAAAGTGAAAGCAATGTTTTCAACATGTAAACGCAAAGTGAACAAATTTTAATGCCAAGTTCAATTGAATATTCAAAACATTTTTGCCTACCAAAAGCTTCATCAAACCAACCAAACTACCAAAGGAGAATGAAGCTAGCAATTTTGGTCCAATTGGACCAAAACGGCAACGCTGATCACGACATCATACAAATAAGATTTGAAAAGTTGTAGTTTTAAAATAATTTTGAAGTGGGTTGCCACCTTGTTCAAAAGTCGAATTTAGTTAAATTATAGACATGTTACATGAAATTATAAAATATGAGTGTCAAATTAAAAAGTTTTAAGGAAGCTTTAGCATGAACGTAGTATATGTAGAATATTGTTTTGTTGTTTGAAAAGGATTGCCACCTTTTGAAAAAGTTAAATTCAAATAATTTAATAAGTTAGGTGAATTATTTAAATATCGTTATCAATAGAAATGAGTTGGAAAGGCTTTATTTCTTAACTCCTAGGGTCGCCATTTGTTCAAAAAATCAAATACAACTTACACAATTTATAAATTACATAATTTAAATATGAGTCAGGACGTCAGATGAAAGATATTTAAAAAGTTTTTAGTTTGAAAATACTTTAGGAGGGGGTTTGAAACGTCGAATTCATAGTTTAAAAAACTTCAGTTTGAAATAATATTTGCTTAGGATTGCCATCTATGTATGTATATGTATATAATATGAGAAGGAATTTTCTTGTGAAGGTCATCAGATCTGCCGCGTTCCTTCGAATTAAAAACAAAAAACGTGGTGTCTCTGCACTCAGAAACGGCTGGACGAATTTAACTTTTTTTTTTTAGAATTTGGCAAACGAATCGATTATAACCCTGACTAACATTTTAAACAATAATAATAAAGCACTTAGACATGCATTTCGGCAGCTGCACTATATCTTAAAGAGACTGTTTTACTCACGCCCACCTGTGCTTAGGCATAAGTAGCGTTGGGTCCTTAAATAACTTAAAAATTAAGTTGGAGGTCTCTAACGATACAAGATTAAATGTTGTCTTTTCGCAAAGTTCTTTAAATGATACTTAAGTATGTTCATAAATATCAGGTTTAATTTTTTACTTAACATTATTCAGGTTTCTTCGCTGTGCTTACCCAAATTTCGGGGCTCATTACAAGTATTATAAATATTTTAATTTGCTCATATGCGCCTATGTATACATAGCTATGTGCATACTTCAATATGTACATATGTATATCCGCATATAGCAAAGGGAGGTTGCCTCTTACTTTATAAAAACTTTAGCTGGAAATTGTATATTTTATTTATATAATTTACATAACTTACAATTGAATCATGTTGTAAATTAAACTTAATCTATGGAAGTATACAGAATATAACAAAACATCATTCAGCTTCCTGAAACCCCTCGTCAATTTTAAGCTTATTAAAAAAAAACTGTAATCAGCAGATACAATAAAGCAATTTTTATTCAAATATAAGTATATTACACTACACTGCATTGATGAAACCAAGTTTTTCAAAAAGTTAGCGAAAAAACTTGGAAGAAAAACAATGAAAAAGTGCAAACAATTATTCTTCTAGACAACAAATTGCAGATTCAGATTCCTCGTATACAAAACCTCGCAGAAACCCCATCTATGTGAAAATATTTGCATTTAAATTAATTCTAATGGTTTTATATGCTGCTCTACGATCACTCACTCCAAAATGAAAAAACAAAAATGCAAATCGCCAATCGAAAAAAATTGGTTTCACCAATTCCTCAGAAAAAAATCGCAAATGTTCCACAGTTTTATCAAATGTGCATCTATTGTGGTTTTCAAAAATTTATATATTAAAAAATAAGCATAAAATTCAGCAGTTTCACTAAGCTGGACCTTCTTCGCAAAAACGGTATAAGAGAAAATGTAAAGTTAAGAGAGTTAATTCCGTTCATTTATTAATTTAATTTTACTCGAGCTTAGATATGGTCGTGAAATGCAAATGGACAGAAACGCTCCACCTCTGAAAGTAGACAATGCGGGACGCGATATTGGTAGCAGATGAAGAGGAAGGTCTCCTCTGCGATGGAAAGACCAGGTAGAGAAGGACTTGGTTGCACTTGGCATTTCTAATTGGCGTTATAGTCGCTTAGGAGGCTACAGAAGAATTCAGATTCTAACAGGATATGTTCCACCTTATCAAAATTATTTTTACAGTGGGTCTAAATTCCTCTTTTTATTGAGAAATTGTATTAATGGAAATGTTTTCATTGGAAAAAGAATTACCAAGTCGGGGATGCTCTTCTATCTTCTGGTGGTATTACCGACCTACATACCAGAGCGCACTTGTGCACAAGAATCAGAGTGTCCAGATTTTTTAAAAAGAAAAAGAGCCATTTCTGAAAACAATCGCCAAAAATCTCGAAACAAATTTTTTATCAAGTTCATGAAATCGGTTAAAAAAATCTTTTATTTTAAAAATGTCATCTTGTTATAACATAGTTGTTAAAACCAAAAACGAATATAATGCCTTCAGGGTAATAATAAATAATACAAATCACAACTCACCCAAAATTAGCCGGTATACAAATTTTAAGATTTTTAGCTTCAACGGTTGATTTTTTGTACTGAAAGGGTTAAGAGCTTATAAATGCCATTTGTGCATTTGGAATCATTTTTTTTTTTTTTATGTGCGTAGTAAAAGCCACTTTTTTCACCATTTTGAATATTAACCTCTTAGGAGGCCTATCTGTCCACAAATAAACTCTAAAACTGTATGCTAACCAACATATAATAAATAAAAAAAATCTGCTCTTTTTTCTTACATGGGCTCAGATCCTAGATCCTGTAGATCTTGAAGCTGATTTGATTTTTGTAAAAAACTCTTTTATGGCAATTTACTCAAGTATATATATATTTTAAAATTTATCTGCCTTTCAAACACATTTCTTAGAACAAAGTTAGCATTTAAAGGGAAGATACGTTTTTAGACCTACTTGAGTAATGGTACAGTACAGTAGTAATGGGTTAAAACCAATTCAAATAAACATTTTTTCTGTAATAATCACGATACTCGATTTTCGAAGCCCAAGCGCAGAAAACAACATTAAAATTAAGGGTTCCACAACAAAACTACATAAATAAATATATATACATATGTATACTTACATAAGCGAGTATTATTGCCTTCATACTCTTCATCGCCTATGTATTCCTTAAACAACTAACTAATTAAGTGCATTAACACACTTAAAAATTATTATTGCTTATTTTGTATTTTATTTTTTTTTTTTTATATTCTTCCAAATTAGTTAGTCAATTTTATTAAGGATATTTTCAACCACAAAATATATTGCGTTTCAAAACTAAACCAACGACGCCGCGTACATTCAGCGCAAAAGCTGAAGAATAACTGAAATCGGATTCTAATTCATGCCACATATCGAGCTCATATCCGTAACTGAAATGTAAATTTCCTGAGGAATAAAAAAAAAAATGATGACTATACTGACAATAAAAGTAACTAAAACATTAAAAAAAATCCTATCCAAACGCCTCAACATATATGAACGTCTATATATATGTATATGTATGTATACACCTTTGAACATGAGTAGGTATATTTGAAATCAAGTACATACATATGTATGTAGCACAGACGGAATCTACATACATAGGTATGCACATATACATATTTAACTGATATGCAAAAAAACAAATCCCTTATGCAAACGAATACAAAGTGAATGCACACACTTATGTACATAGGTACATATGTACGTACATTAAAGTGGTAGAATTTTTGTATGGAGAAAAAAAATTTCGATCCTAGAAAACGGGGTACCGCCTTAGTTTGTTTCCTTTTAATATTTGAAACATCTATACAAATTTTCAGTTTTCTACTGCAACCAATACAGGGTGCTCAATGAACTTGAAATACGCTACTGGATCGCTGCGAAACTGGCAAAAATATTGGTGATTTTTATAAAAAGGTACCGTTGCCATGACAACTGAAGCTTTTGATATTTTTTTGGTTATTTTAAATTTGAAATATTCTTAGGTTACTTAACCAATTGTTTGTTTAATATATGTACACAATACTTCTAGAGTAAAATATGAGCATCCTCTAAATATATACTTAGAAACGTAAGGGTACTCTTTCGGCAAAAGGAAAAAATTTGGAGGGTGTCCCAAGCCCTATCTTGGACAATTTTTTTTGGACCACTCTAATGTACATATATTTGTATGTAGATATTTCAATAAAATATTCCAGAATATATTTTCGTGAAATCAAATCTCTTGCGCATTAATCGACTGTCTCAGCATTTCATGAAAATAAACGCATAGATCAGTTTTCACCGAATACGTTTTCACTAATATTTAAATTTATATCACTTCATTTGCATATTTGGTATACTGATATTTCTGTGGTTGAAGGACAAAACCACATAACAATCAGTACAGTTTGTTAAAAAGTCAAATATTTGTCAAGTCTCGAGCAGCTTTTCAAACGGTGAAGGGGAGCAAAACAACGTACCTCCTCGCAACAAATAAAAAGTCTTCGCGTATTGGGACACACATCATTGATGCCAATTACAACTTTGAAGGGCAGTGAATGACTTTGTCGAAGTAAAAATATCGAAAAGTAAAAATATCTATCCACAAAGCAATATGTATACATATTAGGGTGGTCCGAAATACATAGGAAAATATTTTTTTTTTGTATTTTTCATGCTGCCACCCGCTAGAACTGCAGAACATCAAAAATAATGAGAACGTATTTTTTTTTTATTTTGAAATCGCATAATATTTACACGTGCCGCCGGGGCTTTAAAGTTTCTCATGTATTTTAAATGGGGAAAATAAATTTCTTCGTAGAATTGCTATAAAAGCGTTAAAATATAAATATTTTTTCATCCAATAAGACCACTTCCCTTCAGAATTCTTCAGAAAATTACACTATGATCCTTCTTTAACTTAAAAATTTTACTAAGTGTGTTTTAATCACCGATAATCTTATCTGTTTTATACAAAATTTTTTTATTTTATGTTTTCATAACCGCACGAGTAGCTCAATGGATGTGTTAATTTTTTTTTTGTAGTAAAAAACTTTTAAAAATAAGGTTACCAGATATTTGAAATTATAAAATTATTTAACGGCTCAATAAAATAAATAAATTTCTTCATCAAAACTAAAAGCGTTTGAAGAGATTTAAAAACATTTTTGTGCGGGGTGGCCACCTTTCTAAAAAATACAACAACGAATATTAAAAATTTAAGCTAACTTAATAACACAATATGTGTATCAAATGGAAGGCGTATACACGCCCAGCAAAGGTTTTCACATTAATTGGAGATAGGGTTGCCATTTATCTAAAATACAAATTTTTTAAATCATGCTACATGCGATTAAGTAAAATATGACTTTAACACAAAAGGTGTTAAAATAAAGATTTAACCCCTACAGATTTCTGGAGAGAATGAAAATGAGTGCAATATATCATAGATAAATAATTCAGTCTTAAACCTCAAATATAAGATAGGGCTCACAATCTCCATATGTTGGGGGTTTTTACGCTGGAAACTTTGTTTTAGCTTTCTTCGCTATGCTTTTTTGTAAATCCACAGAGGTATACTCACGAATATTCTATTGAAACTTATGTCAAAAAGCTGCCACTAATTTTAGAGTCGACTTTATTTTAATTACGAATATGCCCCAATGTTATAACGACTTACGTTATTCTCCCTAACGTTAAAAAATTCTTTGAATACAAATTTACCTATGTAAATATGTGCATTAGGCTGGGTCGTTTTTGTATGGGGGAAAAGTAAAAGGCATTCGTAGGTCGTATTGTAATAGAAATAGTATGTTGCCTTAGGTCTAAGCCAATAATAATTCGCTACGAAAGATGAATTTAAAACAAATATTTAGCCCGCGCAATTGATTAAAAGTGTATGATTTTGAAAATGAATGGCGAACGCGATAATTAAAGGTTATTAAATTTAGTATCCCACGTTCCTATGTCATTTTTCAGTAAGATTAAAAGTTTGTCGGTATAAATAGTAGTTTCAAACAGATACATACATTAACTAAATAAAATAAGGCTGAGCAATAGGGTGGTCCAAAAAAAGCGAAGTCGAAACTTTAATGCTCTTATCTTCTAGGATTGTTCAATACCGAAAATATAACCCCTTCTTTTTATTTTTAAATCAAAAAATATTTATAAAATATGCTTTTCCCCATATAAAATACATGGAATACTTTGAGCGCTTTGAGCGATTCCTAAATATATTTTGATTTCGTAATAAACAACATAGGTGTATTCTTTGCCATAAAGGACAGTCCTAGGGATGAGATCATTAAAATTCGCCGTTTGCATTTACAGATTAATTATCTAATAAAACGCACAAGACCCCATCTTATTCGACCAATGCGCTTTGTGTCTTTTGAAAGTCGATGCGCGGCCTCTTGCAACTACATAAATAATCGATTAATATTTTAGAGGCTTACAGTTGACCTTATTATGCAATATATGTTCACTATCCCAAAGGAGTTGGGGAAAATAAAATTTTCGCCACGCCCTAATGTGCATGTACTGTATGCATGTATGTATCGGCTTGTACACTTTTTTATGTTTCTAACAGAGGTATCATATTTTAAAAATGTGCAAACTTTTTGATTTTCTGCGATATACGAATATGTTTGGGAAGTATTCCTGAACCGCATGGAAACAGAAGATCGGAGGTGCAAGCTCGTCAGGGTTGAAGATGGTCGAGGATCACCACCTCCTCCACCTTTTTGCCCTTTCTTGACTGTCAGCATTTTATGTACATAAATGCTGATATTAGTACATATATACGCATGCCTTTGGATGATAGAATAATGCTTTGCTGGCGGTCTTTTGCATTTTCTTTGCTTTGCTATTTTATAAGGAAGAAAATGGGCAACACCTTCAGTAAGTCAGACGGCCCTAGATTTTGGTGCTTGAACAAACGTATGCAAAGGATTGTTCACCTTAGAATCGACCAGAATCCTTACCATAGCTTTCTTTGACTGGATAGTCTGAATATAAATATGAAGGGAGGTGAGTTCTAGAAAAGCTTCCAAGGATGACGCTGGATAAGCCTTCATGGCTGCAGTTAAGTCTGCGCATCATGGTGAGCGTCTTCATGGCTCTGCATTGTGTGGCTGATTCTCTTATCAACCCAGTTAAGTAATTGATGTATAAGTTATCAGTATTTTTTTGGGAGAAACCTCCACTTTTTCCCCTCAATGGACTTACGCAGCAGAGATGTTCCTACAGCTTGCTTCGCTGTTTCGCCTACCTACGTGAGTTTTCCAGCGTAAGTTTTGGTCGAATATAAATGTCACTCTCTTTCTGAAACCTAGTGTTTGTACCATCATCTATGCAAATCGTCTTTAGGCTTTTAAGCTTGTATTTCAAGGTCTACATTCAACGCAACCTTGGTACAACCAATTTTGTTCGTATGTATTATTGATCATCACCATTTCTCTAACAAGTTATACCAGTATTCATTGGCCTTTGAAGCAGTCTCTCTTTTGGACATATGTCCTTGTAGGGTTGTGTTTTTTACCTATCTGCTACCGAGCAAGCAATTTATCCAGATCCCTACAATGACCGATGCCCTGCAATAAACTTCCTGTTAGCGTGCAACAATCGCACTATGTACCTAAATAAATATTTAAATTTGAGTAGTGTACCCACCGCAGCCACATCCTTTTCTAACTAACGACATTTAGCGAAAAGAATAGCTAATTATTCTCACAGCGTTTTTATGCCACTTAATTGAGATATCCAATGAACTACGAACTCAACCGGATAGCCATGTGGTTTATGCTTTGGTATTAACTTAAATCACTTTTAGTAGCTGCTATAAAATACCTCAACTAGTATACACAAGATAAACTGCAATTAATAGCATCTGCTCCAGGTATTCGTTGTGCATGCGCGCATATCCTGTTGAGTATGCGCCTGAGTTCATGCATATGTATGTATGTATGCACGCGCACAACACGCAATCGCGTGGAAATATTTAAGTTTGTTGACCGGCAAACCAACAGCGTAAGCTTGTACATATATATTTATACATATGTATGTATGTATGCGCTTGTCATCGGACAAAAATGCAGTAGCATCAAGAGGCTGTAAAATATCAATAACGTATTCAGTGCATATTAACGTTGTGATAAAAATAAAAATTGTTCTTACAATGATAAAAATATTCCACCACACAATGAAGTTCTGCGAAAAAAAAAACCTCAACGAAGATGCATTGAACTTTGTTAGGCTGAAGTGGCAAGAAAGTACATTGACAGCTAGCAGAAGCAGAATAACCCGTACTATTTTAGCTGCAGGTCCATGTCCTTTTTGCCGACTGGCGGCTGGCTGCAACGGCCACGGC